TGTGTGTGTGTGTGTGTGTGTGTGTGTGTGTGTGTGTGTGTGTGTGTGTGTTTGTGTGTGTGTGTGAATGTTTGTATGCGTACGTATGTTTGTTTGTGTGTGTTTACCTCCCTCCACCAATTGGTGAGTATCTTAATCTTTCGGTTATCACTCAAATTTGTAGGGTTGTGTAGTAACAAACAATGTTTCCTCTTTGTCATTGTTACTTAGATAATTATTCACTGGGTCAAAAATGCGATGACATACAGAGTGTGACTCGTATCGAGTCACCATACCTTTAAACAGGAGGTGGTTGGAGAGCGCCACTGATAGGTCCTACTTCTTTACTGTCCCACTGTTGTTTCTGTTTGTCTGTCTTGCTTCTCTCCCCCCCCCCCTCCCAGCACTTAATGACCAGTATCATGTCGATGTGCTTCTCTTTCCCCAAACAAACAAAACAAACATGTAACTAATTTTCATTCTTCTTCCTCCATAAGTGTTGTGTTTTTCATGCCAATACATTGTTATGTAACCTACAAATATCGGCAACAAAATCAGGACACGGGGCCAAAAAAAAAGAAAAAGAAAAAAAGACAGTCACCTGTGTAAGATAACCACTTTCCTCCTCGACATTAGACGTCTTGGATAATTCCAACTATAATTAATGATAATCAATCTGACCCGCGGTGAGTTGGTGAACTAATAAAAACAAAACTATTCCATTTTGAAATTTGAAATACATCGCTTTTCATCACAGACAGAAGCAACAGTTCTAATATTTTATATCACGAAATGCCTCGTGAGTGACAGAATGCTCCAGTGTCAGTTCGTGTCTCATTTTTGAGATCTTGGGTATTTCAACATACAGATTTCACCCAATTTTCTCCAGCTTTGGACAACGAGATACAGACCTCAATATAAGTTAAGGACCACTTTGACAGACAGCCCTATTTTTTTTTAATCCGGAAAAAAGACTGCAAGGAATGTTTCAAAACTTTTTGCTCTGAAAATGAAAGTGTTAATGGGTTACCAAAGCGTACTGAAAAGCTTCCTGAAGGGGCAAAACCACCACGTGCAGCCCGGAAATCGTCGGGGAATTTTAGCCAAATTTGCTGTTTTTTGTTGACTTGTGTGCGACACCTCGGACATTCCTCAGTTAAAATTTCTGGTGCACATCATCAATGGACGTAGGCCTTGAACTGTGCTCACTTTCGTTGCAATATAAGCCGCCGTTTGTGCAAAACCTAGATCTAGTATCGCATCAACATGCAACCAAAACGAAAGCTGAGAGACTTTGATCGTGCAAGAGCTATAGCAAGGCTGCAGAATGGAATTTGAGCCCGTGAAGTTGCCAGAAGGCTGCAGTGTCACACTCTGTCATTGTCCGCCTGAGGCAGCGCCATCAAGCCACTGGATCAGTCCAAGAACGCCCTCGTGCAAGTCGACCCAACAAGACCACTCAAAGTGTTTGCAATTGGTCCTTAATTTATGTTGAAGTCTGTATATGTGTTCGGAAACGTTTATTCCGACTTGCGACATGTCCACGCTTGTCTGATCCAAAGTGTGTCGATGGAGACGTAAAACACACTTGTGCTCGTGCCTGGAGAAATGTCCTAGTTATCGGCAAAGCTACTTTTGAGCAACAGGTGAAAAGGCAAAATAAGTCGTAAGTTCTACTTGATCGAAGTTTTAGTTCCATCACAAACACGCGTTTTACCACTTCTAAATAACATATTGAAAGGATACACTATCTTAATATCTTGTCAGTATATTAGTGTTTTAGCGCCTATAAATGGCGCGTGCACTGTATGCTTCCCACGAAATTGAGGTTGTTTCAGAATGCTCGCAGGTCTCCTCGGGTAATACTAATAGTGTAGATTGTGAAGCGCATAGAGCTTGCTGTTGAGCGGGGATTTGCGCTATACAAATGCTATCTATTATTATTATTTTTATTATGTCTAAGTATTTTTTAATCAGATAATGTTGCATTATGTTGCACTTCAACAAATGTTAAAATTGTGCAAAACATTTTTTTGGGTCTCCAAACTTTGTTTTTACACACTATGTTACAAAATGTGGCATGTCTCTAAAATCACTCTAGATGTTTGGAAATTTAAAAAATCAGCGTGTTCAGCGTTGAATTTGCTTTAAGAATATGGCCTTATTTCAATATCCAAATTTTCCGACAACTCGGACCTTTCTCCAAGCATACACACAGTGGGTGGTTGGCGGGTGCTCTGGTGTGGTTTGCTCCTTCTTTCCTATCGAACATCTATCGTCCTTATCTCTCCTTCATCCTTTTTATGTTTGTTACTCTCTTGTAACACCTCTAATCTTCTGGCGCTCACATGACCTTATGCAGTTTCGAGCGCTGAAAAAAACCTCTACTATAACTAAAAACTAAAAGCATACACACACACACATGTCTTGCTCCGTTAGCTCAGTTGGCGTTATGCTGGATGGCTCTGGTTCGTATCCAAGATAAGGCGTTGTTGAATTTGGGTCGTTTTGTCGAGTTTTTAGGCCCTCTACCTACCCATGTGGCTCTGCCCTATCCGATACAGACGGTAAAATCAGAGGTCCAGCCTCGTTAATGACCTAATGGTGTTTATAAGGGTGTTAAACCTCATACACTTGTGTTTTTTATATCAAAGTGATAGTAGCAGGAAGAAAAAGACATCTCTTTTTTGTGAAAGCGGTTTGTTCCGCGGAATTTTTCAGATCCGAAAGCTGGACCGTCGACTGGATATCTTGACTAATGAAGTGCGGAAGCTGAAGAAAGATTCTGGGGTGAGCGCCTGTGCAGAATAGCATCTACAGTGTGATCCCCTTTTGCTGAATAATGATATCCCCCCCCCTCTCTCTCTTTCTCTATCTATCTATCTATCTATCTATCTATCTATCTATCTATCTATCTATCTATCTATCTATCTATCTATCTATCTATCCATCTCTCATACATATTCTGTATATGTGTGTTCATTTGTTTGTTTGTGTGTGTGTATGCGTGTGTGTCTCTGTGTGTGCATGTGTGTATCTGTGTGTGTGTGTGTGTGTGTGTGTGTGTGTGTGTGTGTGTGTGTGTGTGTGTGAGTGATTCGGTGTGCGTTTGTGTGTAAAAGTGTATGTATCAGTGTCTTTGTTAATGTGTGTCCATTATTAAGCGTTTTTCAGTGTGCGTGCGTGTGTGTGTCTGTATGTGGGCATGTGCTAGTGCGTCTATATGT